AAAAAAAAAGGGAAAATCTCAAAATGTAATCCTTTTGTAAGCACTCGTTAGCATGGTGGGCAATAAGACCCATTTCCCATGCATGTAGTGCATTTTCCTGCAATTTATCAAACAGCATTGGCGTTCTGAACAAACTACTGTAAAAGGAGGTTCTTTAGGGTCATTGTGGACTCATTCTGGGGAAACATGGTACCCAAACTCCTGAACATTAAATGAGAACCTTTACCTAATGGAATCTAATAAGTCCTGATGTTGGCTTTTAACGTGAGCCAGGAAAGCCTTCTCGAATGCTGTGATCTTGCTTGGATCCATCTTGTCCAGATGACCCCTTACACCAGCATAGATAACTGCTACCTGTTCTTCAATGGCCATGGGAACTGCAAAAAGAGCAGAGATTAGAAACCACACAACTATTGTAGATCCCGAAGTGCATTTCTTCAGATAGCGAGGCCAAGTTCTTCCTACAGCAGCTTACCGTACTGTCCTTGCTTCAGGAGCTCAGTCAGACGCACACCACGGTTCAACAGCTGCTGGGTAGTAGCATCCAAATCAGAGCCGAACTGGGCGAAAGCTGCGACCTCACGGTACTGAGCCAGCTCCAACTTCATGGTACCGGCCACCTATAGATGAAAACTGGAATCAGTCTAACAGTTCAATCCATATCACGAGTCCAAACTGCTACTACAGAGAAAAGTCAACACAAAAAGCAATGATTTGCTAGTCTAAGAGCTGCAATGCACAAACTTAGACACGGCACATCAAAGTCTTCAGATTTCATTTTCAAAGTTAGATGACCAGACACATATAGCCCAAGGGCCAATTCACAGCACAAAGGCTGCGTTCTAGAGCGTTTGGCCTCTGGAATGCACTGGAACGCAAGCCAGCACCCAGCGTCTAGGGGCGCTGTAGTGCATTGAAGTCAATGGCACGGCTGCCATGCTCCCCGCTGTGCAATCGCCTGCACACGGAAGAGGCATATCATTGCCTGCGTTCCTGTCCAGTGCGATCTTGCAGCATTTTTGAAGATCGCACTGGAGTGGAACGCAGGCACTAACGTGCCCGAGTTCTGGGTGATCGCACTGCAAGCAGGGTGCTGCTGCTGCAGTGCCATTGACTTCAATGCACCGCCACACCCCCCTCCCACCCCTGAACGCAGGGAGCTGGCTGGTGTTCCAGAGGCCGAATGCTCTGGAACGCAGCCTTTGTGGTGTGAATCAGCCCTAACTGCAGACAGTTTGCTCTTAGGACTTCATGTCAAACAGGCGACACCCACCTGTTGACCCTACCCTTCACTTACACCATTACAAGTCTGATTTCAACTTTCAGGCATCAAACAAGGCTCCAGGTAAACATGTGAAAGGAGGGAACTTAGAAATCATGTACAAGAGGCTCCTTAAGCCACCAGTTGGTGAAAACTAGACAGATGTTCACTTCTACTTGCCTGTTTCATGGCTCTGGTCTGGGCAGCAGAACCTACACGGGACACGGACAGACCGACGTTGATGGCAGGTCTGATACCTTTGTAGAACAGTTCAGTCTCCAAGAAGATCTAAAAAGAGGAGAATGTTGGAAATGTAAGAAATGTTAGCAATACACTAACAAGTTCCCTTAAATGAAAGTCAGCAGCCACTTGCCTGTCCATCAGTGATGGAGATGACATTTGTTGGGATGTAAGCAGACACGTCACCGGCCTGGGTCTCAATGACGGGGAGAGCAGTCAAAGAGCCTCCTCCAAAATGGTCGTTCATCTTGGCAGCTCTCTCCAGCAGACGGGAATGGAGGTAGAACACATCACCGGGGTAAGCCTCACGGCCAGGAGGACGACGCAGCAGCAGAGACATTTGACGGTAGGCCACAGCCTGCAGAAACAGACAACCAATTCCAAATGTATAACATTTACAGAGATGCACTAAAATGACATTTTTACACCGAAAATTAAAAATTTCAGGGTGCAACTGAAAAGGACTTTCCCCAAACTCTAATTTTTTTCACTTTACAGTTAGGGGCTTTGGGGAAATATCTGGAATCTATACAGACCCCTGATATTTCCCTTTTAAAATAGAAGATTGACAGAGTCCTCAATCTTTTTCTGCAGCCGCAGCACTTAATGAAAAGGAAGCTCTCAGTGAGCAGATAGTACCATGTCCACAATGAATGAACAGGACGTGATATAGCACTTCCCGTTCATTCACAACTGGGGACATAGTAAGTTCATCATGTCCTCAGTTATATACATTCAGCAATTACCGGTAGTACTAATCACCAAGTGCCT